TTGTTGTTGTTGTGTGTGTGTTTTTCTCCCCAATAAACAAGGATGGACTACTTTATAAAAAGTACAAACAAAAAGTAATCCCTGTCTTTGAATCACACAAATTATAATAGTGTTAGCAATTAGTGTCACTATTAGTTGCCATAGTGTCCATTCTAATTTATGGCAACCCTATGTGTACAGATACGAATCGGGCTGCAAACCTTAAGGTCAGTGGTTCGAAACTACCAGCAGCTCCGCGGGAGAAAGATGAGGCTTTCTACTCCCGTAAGGATTTACATCCTTGGAAACCCTGTACAGGGTCGCTATGGGTCGGGACCGACTCGAAGGCACTTCACAACAACAACAACAACAATGTGTACAGAATAAAACAGTTCCATGGAGTTTTCAAGTCTGTGACCATTTGGAAGTAGCTTGACAGATGTGTCTTGTGAAATTATGTATAACTAAAAATTACAGAAGTTGATAGTTTATAGAGTGCCCTCATGGCACAATGGTTATATACTCTGTAAACTAACTGAAATATCAGCTGTTCAAACCCATCAGTCACTCAATGGGAGAAAGATATAGCAGTCTGCTTCCATGAAGATTCAGGGCCTTGGAAACACTATGTGTCAGTTTTACTCGGTCTTAAAAGGTCACTATGAGTCAGAATGGACTCAGCCACAGTGGGTTTGAGTTTTAGGTTACAGTTTACACCTTATTGGTAGAGATAACATGGTGTTTCTAAGTTAAATAGTAGCAATTGACCAAAATATTTGTTGTTGTTAATTGTCGTGAAGTTATTTCTAACTCATAACAAACCTGAATATGGTTTCCGAGGCACACCTGGTGATTTTGAACCAATGACCTTACAGTTTAATCTGACCTTGCTTATCTACAGTGCCACACCAAGATTTTCAAAATTTGTCTTTATTTAATCTGACTTTCTTTAAGAATAAATTGTGGTTGTTGTTGTTAAGTGCAATCAGTCAGTTCCTATTCATACGGTTTCTGAGGCTTTACATCGTCATGGGATGAGAAAACTAAGTGGGCTTAAATTCACTTAAAACTAGTTTGAAATACCTCTGTGAAATCCATCCATAGTTCAGAAGGCATTAAGACTTATGACAACTGATTAGAGTGTAATTTTTTTTTTTTTTTTCCTTTCAATTTAGTGTAAACCTGGGACTTTCCATTAAACTGAGCTTTGGTTCTTTTAATACATATTACACAGATGTATTAAATATTTATGAAGGAATAGGACCAAACAAGATTTTAAGAGGTAAGTCAAAGAAATATATAGTCCACTATCAGAATGAAAACATGTTGGAAATTTTTGGAGTGATGTGATTTTCCCTTTGATTTTAAACTTAATAAGGACTTGAACTTTAAGTCACTAAAAAGAATAAATAAAACTGCTCTCTGATATAAAAAAAAGAATTCAATGTTCTATGTAATTGTTCTTGAAATAAAATAACTATTTCACATTTTGTTCTTTTAATTTACCTTTTTTTAATTTCAAATTTATTAGAAGTATAGTTACTTCTTCACTTAATATGCATTGTGTAAAGGTTACTCCACACTAAGCAAATTCAGAGAAACACTAAAAAGTATTCTTCTCTATTTCTGTAATATTGCATAGGTTATAAACTCAGGTTCTGTGTTTATACATAATGCATGCACTACCTTGTCTCTGGCATGACTTCATTTTCCTTGGATTCACAAGCAATACTCAAAGTGAGCTCTGGTAGCGTAGGGGTTACCAATCGGGCTGCGAACCTTCAGTCAGCAGTTCAAAACTACCAGCTGCTCCGTGGGAGAAAGATGAGGCTTTCTGCTCCTGTAAAAATTTACAGCCTTGGAAACCCTGTACAGGGTCGCTATGGGTCGGAACCGACTAAACGGCACTTAACAACAACAACAACTCAAAGAAGCAGCAGCAAGGAAATCAATGTATTTGCATTAGGCAAATCTGCTACAAAAGGTCTCTTTAAAGTGTTAAGGAAAGGTGTCAGTTTGAGGACAAGTACCTTATGTGGATGTTGTAGGACCAAGCAGTGGTGGGTTGTACATAAGATCGCTATATATTATTTCTGACTCAATAGCACCTAATAATAACAACAACATACAAAAAGAACTTCAAAAACTTGGTGGAAAAAATGAAATTAATGCATAAGGGAATTTTTACTCTTTTTTCCATAATCATTTTGTTGACCCCAGTATATAGTATGGTGGTGGTGGATATGTGCCATGCAGCAGGTTCCAACTTATAGCGACTGTGCTTAGGTTTCTGAGGCTGTAAATCTTTACGGAAGCAGAAAGCCTCCTCTTTTCTCCAGTGAAAAGACTGGTAGTTTCGAACTCTTGACCTTCATATTATCAGCCCGACTGGTAACCACTATGCTATCAGAGCTCCCTAGTATATAGTATTGTTGTTGTTATTAGGTGCCATAGAGTCGGTACCGACCCATAGTGACCTTATGCACAGTAAAACGAAACACTGCCAATCATGGGTCAACCTCACTACTGTTGCCACGCTTGAGTCCATCGATGCTGCCACTTGGCCACTCCATGTCGTTGGGAGTCTTCTTTTTCTGTGACCCTCCACTTTACCAAACATGATATCCTTCTCCAGCGACTGGTCCTTCCTGACAATATGTCCGAAGTATGACACAAAGTTTGATTGCTTCTCGACCTTTTGGCTAAGATCAATTGTGGTATATAATATATATAGCCAAAAAAAAAATTGTTTTGTTTTGTTTTTTCAAACTGTAAACCTCTACAATAATTTTTTTATATGTTCTAATGTTTAGGAGAATACCCATTTCAATAAAAATAAAATAATTGAATTAATCCTTTTTGTTAATTAACTATTATCAAATTAGATAGCTAGATAGATAAATAAATACATAGAGATTAGACAAATCTGTATATATAACAGTCATTCATTATCTTTTGTAGCTTCTCTCTGCGAAACCAATCCTGGAACTATTAGGATTTTTTCCAACATTGTTACTGTCACTTTTGTTATAGAATCACAAGAAAGTGAATACATTGGTTTTAATGCAACATACACTGCATTTAACAGCAGAGAGATTAATAGTAAGTATTATTTATTCTTTAGCCTTTGTATTTTCAGATGTTTTTATATAGTAATAAGATTTTAAATTAGCAGGACCATCAATTTTGTAATAAGACTGTAAACTGTTGCATTATATAATCTCTTAAATCAGTATCTCTTACTGAAACTCTCTACTTGATACTTGAAAAGAAATGAGAAATAAGAAAATAGTACATGTTCTTGAAATGAGTTGAATAACCAATTTGAGCACAATTACAAATCAAATTTAAAAAAAACACTTAATATTTATATACTGGAAATACTAAAAGTAAAAAAAAAAAAAAAAAAATTAAAATAAACTATGAGAGCATTCCACATTATATTAATTTTGACCAAAGTCATAAATTTAGTAATAGAGGAGAGGAAAACATAAGAACAAGTTTGTGCACATAAACCAATGGAAACAAGATGTAACAATTGTGTTAAAGAAACGATAAATGAGTCTTTGCTAAAGTCCTAGCGAGATACACAACACGCTTAAATCTCTCAGAATTAACAGCCAAGTTGTTGTGGAAACTAAACTAAATGAAACAGAGTTAAGGATGAACAGATAATTATTTTGTGCTTGTCACTTAATTATAAACTATAAAATTAGATTATTGTCAATGCAATGTACTACTCACATTGTGAATCACATTTGAATGTTTATTTCTTCTTCATTTTTTATTCATAGATTATGAGAAAATTAATTGCAATTTTGAGGATGGTTTTTGTTTCTGGATTCAGGATCTAAATGATGATAATGAATGGGAAAGGATTCGAGGGAACACCTTTCCTCCTTTTACTGGACCAAATTTTGACCACACTTTGGGAAATATTTCAGGTATAACTCATTTTATTCATAAATCAAAAGGAAAGCACTGTTTTTCTTCTGCAGTTTTAAGGGAACAGCATTAAGAACAAATGTCTTTCCAGTATTTCATTTAAAGTAAAGAAATAATAAAGCATTGAAATGAAAAACAAACAGTAAGCAAATAGAGAAGTAAAGGTGAGTATATTTAAATGTCATATTATTTAATTCTATATAATCATGCCATGTTGAAAACTACAGAGGCCATTAGATGCAAAGAAATTTGGGTTGTCACCAGGTTTGCCAATAATTATTAATTAAGTAGATTTCAGTAAGATAATGAACTTTTCTGAACTTTGTTCTCCTTTGCCTGAATTTCATTTTTGGATTGTTCCTTGCTCACAGATAGGAAGAGAATTGATTTTTATATTGCTCTTGGTTCCTGCAGTGTTGAAGAAGTCATTTATTAGCTCTGACAGTTTTTGAGGATTCCATAGAATATTCTCTATGCAAGATCTTATTACATTGATTTCATTTTACTTCTTCCTTTATACTTTGGATGATATTTTATTCATTTTGCTTAAATATTTTGTTTCTGACAAATCCTGGTGTAGTAGTTAAATTCTCAGTTACTAACTGAGAAGTTGGCAACTCAAAACCACCAACTTCTGCACCAGAGAAAGATGTGACAGTCAGCTTTCATAAAGATTGTTGTTTTTACTGTTGTTAAGAGCTGTCAATTGGTGCCTACTTACAGTGACCCTGCACAGTGGTTCTCAGGAGCAAATGGTATGTTTAGACTGCCAACCTTGAAGTTCAAACTAACCTTGTGGTCCAGTGTTTATCCTAAAGCACCATTCCAGGATTCCAGAAAAATTACAGCTGAGGAATCCTTATAAAACAGTTCTATTCTGTCCTATAAAGTCACTAACGTTGGAACAGACCTGATGGCAACCGATTTTTTGTTGTTTTAATTTCACTTGCTAAAACCTTCGGTATACTTTTGAATAGAAATGACAACAATGGACGTGTTTATCACTATCCTAATTTTAGAAGGAAAACTTTCAGGTTTCACCATAAATTAGGATGTTAGCAATAGGTGTCTTGTACATACCCATTACCAGGTTGAAGAAAGTCAATCTCTCCCAGTTTGTTTAATGATTTTTCTGTGCTTGTTGAGATGACAATGTGATGTTTGCACTTCATACTATTAGTATGATGCAAAAATAGTGCAGAGCCCATATCTGCCTTCCTCTGACTTCACCAAGAGGAAGGAGAATCAAACTCACATTTAGCCCAAGACCAATTCCTCTGATATGGAGTTCAGACATGCCTCCACATTCTTCAAACTACTGATACCAACAATCCCTCCCACAGCATTCTGTTTCACATCTGGATGTGGTAATACAATGCAGTGGTTACACAGAACTCACAGAAAATACTAAGAAATTCTGGAGTTTACTAAGAAATTGAGCAGTGTATAAAATCCAAGATCAGAAACAACTCAGGATGCTGCAGTCCTCCACTAAGGAACATCTCTGCCATACTGCAGGCATGCGTCACACTTGTCTTGGGTCTCTCAGCAATATGGACTCCTATCCTATGCCCTCTTCCCTTCAATTCTGACACTTTGGCTTTATGTAGACCCCCAATTAGATGGATTTGTACAGTGGCAGCACTAATGGGCTCAAATGTAGCAATAATGGTGAGGTTGGCACAAAACTGGGCCATGTTTCGTTCTGTTGTGCAGAGGGTCTCTATGAGTCGAAACTAACTTGATGGCACCTAACAACCACAAATTATTAGGCCATATATGCTTATCATTTTTATTTCTCCCTGATGTATTGGCTTTTTTTGCCTTTAAAAATAACCTTTACCTCTAGAAACAATTTTTGCCTTAAGGTTTATTTGTCAGATATTAGTATAGTTATATCAGCTCCTTTGGTTACTATTTGCAGGATATATATTTTTATATCCTTTTTCTTTAAAACCTTACTTAATATGGCACTGTGGGTTAATGCAATGGACTACAAAGTCAGCTTGAACCACAAGGTCAGCAGTTCAAGCTCACCAACCACTCCTCAGAAACCCTATATAGGGTCACTATGGGTCAGAACCGACTCAATGTCATGTAACAACAACAAAGCATTTCTCTCTCTATTTTTTAATGTTTTTGTTGTGAACTGAGTGATAGTTTACATGGGAGAACATTGGCTTTACACCATCATTTCATTGCAATGATTACAATTTCCTCCAGGCATCATCATTCAACAATATTTGCTTCCTTTCCCTCAATTTTTTGTTTATTTGTTTGTTTGTTTGTTTGGGAGGGGAGAGTGGGATGTACACAAAAACACTCAGGAATATGTAATCATTTAAACAACCAAAGGACACATTCTGCAAGCCTATGTCCTTGCCGCCAGCACACAGCCTTTAACTTTCCATGAGTTCAGAGTCCTCAGCTGCTCCCTGTCTCCATATCTTCATCTCTACGTCCAATTCTGGTACTGCTGCTTCTCTGGATAGGGCCCCACATTCCACCTGTGCTCTTCGCCCTTAATGGTCCTAGGGTCCTCTGCTTCTGGACTTTAAGATGAACTATTCACCCAGTTTTGTTACAAAACCTTTACCTTTACAGTTGTGACAGTTGCAGTTAGTCATGATAACAATTGAAGTATTTCTCTTGTGGAGAACATATGGTTGAATCATGTTTTTTATTTGTTTGTTTTTCAATTTGGCCAATCTCTGTGTTTTGCTGAAGCATTTAATCAATTTAATTTAGTGTTGTTGCTATTGTTAGGTGCCATCAAGTTGGCACCAACTCATAGTGACCTTATGCACAACAGAACGAAACACTAGGGCAACCTCACAATCATTGCTACACCTGAACCCATTGCTGCTGCCACTGTGCCAGTCCATCTATTTCAGGGTCTTCCACTTTTTCTTTGATCCTCCACTCCACCAAACATAATAGCCTTCTCCAGGGATAGTCCTTCCTGACAACATGTCTGTAATATGAGAGATGAAGTCTGGCCAACCTGGCTTCCAAGGAGCACTCTCGGTGTACTTCTTACAACACAGAGCTGTTTGTTCTTTTGGCAGTCCATGATACTTTGTATATTCTCCTTCAACAGGATAACTCAAATGCATCAATTCTTCTGTGGTCTTTCTTAGTCACTGTCCAAAGTTTGAATGTGTATGAGGTCATTGAAAATATCATGGCTTGGCTCAGACACACCTTAGTCCTGACACTGATATCTTTGCTCTTCAACACTTTAAAGAGATCTTGTGAAGCAGGTCTTCCCAATGCAATATGTCCTTTGATTTCTTGACTGCTGCTTCCATGAGTGTTGAAGGTTGATATGAATAAAATGAAGTCTTTGAAAACTTCAATCTTTTCTCACTTTATATGGATGTTGTTTATTGGTCCAGTGGTGAAGAATTTTGTCTTCTTTATATTGATATGCAACCCATACTGAAGTATGTGATATTTGATCATTAGTAAATGTTTTAAGTCCTCTTTGATTTCAGCTAGCAATGTTGTATCATCTGCATATCACAAGTTGTTAACAAGTCTTCCTCCAATGCTGATGTTACGTTTTTCTTCATGTATTCTAGTTTCTCAGATATATATTTGCTCAGCATACAGATTGAGTAATTATGGTGAAAGAATATAACCCTGTCGCACCCTTTCTTAATTTTAACCCATTCGATGTTCCCTTGTTGTGTTCAAACAACTGCCTTTTGGACTATAATTTTGGTTTTGGTATGTGCCGTGGAGTGGCTTCCAACTCATAGTGAGTTGTACAGGGTTTCCAAGGCTGTCTTGGTCTATATACAGGTTCCTTATGTAAGTGTTCCGGATTACTCATTCTTTGCAATGTGTCCATAGTGTGTCATGGTCCACACCATCAAAAGCCTTTGCATAGTCAATAAAACACAGTAAGTATTTTTCTGGTATTCTCTGCTTTCAGCCAAGATACATCTGATGTCAGCAATGGTTTTTCTCATTCCATGTCTTCTTGTGAATCCATCATAAACCTCTGGAAGTTCTCTGTCAATGTATGGTTGCAGCTATTTGGGTATTATTTTTAGCAAAACTAAACTCACATGGGACATCAATGATATTGTCCAATGATTTCTGTATTCTATTGGGTCACCTCCCTTTTGAATGGGCAAAAGTATGAATCTCTTCCTGTAATTTGGCCAGGTAGTTGTTTCTTAAATTTCTTGGCATAGATGAGTGAGTTCCTCTAGTACCTTAGCAATTCGTTGAAAGATTTCAATTTGCATTTCATCTATTACATTGCCTTGTTCTTTGCCAATGACATCAATGCACCTTGGATATTTCCTTCAGAATCATTGAATCTTGATGATATGCTACCACTTGAAATGGTTGACTATCGACCTTTACTTTTTGGAATAGTGACTCTGGGTATTTCTTCCATCTTCCTTTGATGCTTTCTGCATCATTCAATATTTTACCAATCTTAATCCCCCCCCCCCAGTTGTTTGTTTTGTGTTGTTTTGGTTGTTGTTGTTGTTAGGTGCAATCTAGTAGGTACCATGTCATAGCAATCCTATGCACAACAGAATGAAATACTTTCTGGTGCTGGGCCAACTTTACAAACGTTGCTATGCCTGACCCTATCACTGCTGCCACTGTGACAATCCATCACATTGGGCTCATCCTCTTTTTCTCTCGACCCTCCGCTTTACCAAACATGATATCCTTCTCCAGTGATTGGCCCCTCCTGACAATAAATCTGAAATATGTATGAGAGGCAAAATCTGGCTATCTTGGCTTCCAAGAAGTACTCTGGCTGTACTTCTTCCAACACAGATCTGTTTGATCTTTTGGCAGTCCATGGTCCTTTCAATATTCTCCTCCAACACCATAACACAAATGCTTCAATTTTTCTACAGTCTTCCATATTAAATGTCCAACTTTTGCATGCATATGAGGTTATTGAAAATACTATGGCTTAGGTCAGGCACACCTCAGTCCTGAAATTAACACCTTTGCACTTCAA